GTGACAAACCCACAGTAAACATCATACTGAACAGGCAAAACCTGCAAGCATTTCCCCTAAGGACTGGAACAGGACAAGGATTTCTACTCTCACCACTTCTATTTAACATGGTAGCGGAGTCCCCAGAGAGAGCAATCAGTTAATAGAATGAAACAAAAGACATCCAAATAAGAAATGAAATGGTCAAATTATCTGTCTTAACTGATGATATTATTCTATCTAGAACCCCTAAAGACTCTTCCAAAAAGCAACTATCCCAGATAAGTGAATTCAGTAAAATTCTAGGATACAAAAGTAACATACAATCATTAGTAGCATTTCTATACATCAATAGCATTCAAGCTGAGAGATGAATCAAGAATGCAATCCCATCTACAATAACTACAAAAATAAAATATCTAGTAATACATCTAACCAAGAAGATGCTGAAATTAGAGATGACACAAACAAATAAAAAAAATTTCATGCTCATGGATTGCAAGAATCAATATTATTAAAATCTTCATACTGCACATAACAATCCACAGATTCAACACCATTCCTATCAAAACACTAGCATCATTTTTCACAGAATTAGAAAACCATTCTAAAATTCATATGGAAAAAAAAACCAAATAGCCAAAGCAACCCTAAGCAAAAAGAATAAAGCTAGAGGCATCACGTTACCCAACTGCAAACTATACAACAAGGCTACAGTAGCCCAAATAGCATGATAATGGTACAAACACAGACACACAGATAAATGGAACAGAATAAAGAACTCAGAAATAAAGTTGCACACCTACAGCTGACTGATCTTCAATAAAGTCAACAAATAAAAGCAATGAGGAAAGGACTTCCTATTCAATAAATGATGTTGAGAACACTGGCTAACCATATGCAGAAGAATGAAATTGTAGCCCTATCTATTACTATATACAAAAAAAAAAAAAAAATTAAAAACTCAAGATAGCTTAAAGGTTTAAATGTAAAACTTCAAACTATAAAAATCCTAGAAGAAAACCTAGGAAGTACTCTTTTAGATATTGGCATAGGCAAATAATGTATGACTAAGTCCTCTAAAGCAATTGCAACAAAAGATATTTATAAGTGAGATCTAATTAAACTAAAGACCATTTGTTAAGTAAAATAAACATCAACAGAGTAAACAGACAACCTACAGAATGGGAGAAAGTCTTTGCAAACTATGCATCTGACAAGGAACTAATAGCCAGAATTTATAAAGAACTTGAATAGCTATTACTAAAAAGTCAAAAATTAACAGATGTTGGTGAGACTGTGGAGAAAAGGGAACACACACACACTGTTGGTAGAAATGTAAATTAGTTCAGCCCCTGTGGAAAGAAGTTTGGACATTTTTCAAAGGAGTAAAAACAGGGCCGGGGCAGTGGCTCAAACTTGTAATCCCAAGTGGCACTTTGGGAGGCAAAGGTGGATGGATCCCATGAGGTCAGGAGTTTGAGACCAGCCTGGCCAACATGGTGAAAACCCATCTCTACTAAAAATACAAAAATTAGCTGGGTGTGGTGGCTCACACCTGTATCCCAAGCTACTCCGGAGGCCGAGAGTTGTGTGAACACATGAGAATTGTGTGAACCCAGGAGGTAGAGGTTGCAATGAGCTGAGATCACGCCACTGCAGTCCACCTTGGGCAATAGAGTGAGACTCAGTCTCAAACAACATCATCATCAACAACAACAACAACAACAACAACAACAACAACAGAACTACCATTTGACCCAGCAATCCCATTATTTGGTACATACCAAAAGGAAAATAAATCGTTCTACCAAAAAGACACCCATACTTGTATATTTATCACTGCACTACTCACAGTAGCAAAGACATGGAATCAACTTAAGTGCCCTTCAGTGGTGGATTGGATAAAGGAAATGTGATACATATATACCATGGAATACAATGCAACCATAAAAAGGAACAAATTATGTCATTTACAGCAACATGAATCCATCTGGAGGCCATAATCCTAAGTGAATTAACACAGAAACAGAAAACCATATATTACATGTTCTTACTTGTAAGTAGGAGCTAAACCTTTGGCACACATGAACATAAAGATGAGAACAATAGAGTCTCCAAAATGGAGAGAGGGAATGGGAGCAAGGGCGGAAAAAGTTCCTATTGGCTGCTATGTTCACTATCTGGTTGACAGAATTAAGAGAAGTCCAAACCTCAGCATCATGCAAAATACTCTTACGATAAACCTGCAAAAGTACCCCCGAATCTATTATAAAAAAATAAAATTTAACAAAAAATAAATTATTTTTGCAAGTGATTTTAGAGAGAATACATATTGAACTTAAGTTAGAAATTTTCTGAAATGAAGGTTATATATAGAATGTTCCATTTCCCAGTTTCTCCTCCTCCTTTACTATCAAAAGTTAATTTAAGGGTATTTCTACCCTTTTGAAAACAATTCGAGTTGAGAGAAATTGCACCATATGCTCTGCTTACCCATGCAGTGTAAAGCAAAGTGCTGAGCAATTATATGGTGGATTTGATCAGTTTTGACAACCAGTCTTGAAATTCAAGCCAGAATCCCCTGCCCTTTCTTCCACAGCAGGTTTGGGGACTGAATTATATGACTAATTAAAGCAAATTTCTACTTTACCTTGGCAATTGCTCACAAATTCTGCACGTGCAAATGACTTTGCTGATCAGCTTTAACAATCTGTGTCATCCTTTTACAACTTCTATACCAGAATATACAATCAAAATAATAATGAATAGCAATATTTAAGTTCCACTTGAAATCCTTTGAATTGTCTTTCATCAAAGTCATCCTAGAACGTTAACTTTCCTCAATTCCTCCACCTTGTAGTCACCATGTAGAATATTTGATTAGGGAATCCTAGTCAAATGTATAATCTGATCAATATAAATTGGTTCAAGAACTCTCCTCATTCTTTGTTTGAAGCATGTCAAGGAGTCATGTGGACTAATTGGATCATTACCATAATTATATAAGAAATACACGACATTCACATTGACAGTATACCCTTTATAGTAATCTATTAGTGAAATCGAGGTGCTCTAAATAAGGCCATTAACATTAAATAGCCACTGCTTCTATAACAATGAAACCTGAGATATTATCTACAGAGCCTACAAAGGGATGTGCCACTAAATTTGGATGCTCATGAGAGAAAAGCAATCTTTTTAAAATTTCATAATATGTAATGTTTAAACTTAGTGATAAATACACATACAAGAGAAGGATGTGATCTCACATCTGAGATGACAATAAATTAATTTTAGGGCAATCTATATTTCACAGCACATTATGGAGCAGTATTAGCAGACCATAGACGCACACCCCATGAGGAGCCTTAAAAGACATCTGTGAGGAAGGAAAAATACTGTTTATATTTAAAATGTTATGTAGTGATGAAATGTCAACCACTCTTAGATGAATGTTTCAAATATTAGCAAAAAAAGAAAAAGAACTTTACATATGCTTTTTCCTTTTTCACTCAATATTAATAATATGCAAAAAGTTCTAGCTCATATATACTCGTGGAACAACTAAACAGAGAAATGGATACGGTAATGAGCTAGAAGAGGTAAAGAGAGAAGATCGAGGTCTTTAACTTATTACCTAATGGAGAATGAGACATAATATTAAAAGGTAGCTTTATTGATAATCCATTCTTCAGATTTTTGAAGCAAAATTGAATTCAAATATGCTCATGTTAAATCTTATCGGATGTCACAAATAATTTCTTCATTTGTTTTTACTATAATTTCTACAACATCCATTGCCAGGGAAAGACACGAATCATGTCAAGACCACTAACCATGAGAACTTGTGTTTCATTGCCTCAGGGTATATAGGTCATTGTTTAGCCATATTTGGATCTTTACTGTGACTCTTATAATCCAAGTTATCCAGGTAAAATAAAAAAATCACACAATATGTATTTTAATACATCACTCAGGGAATCTGCAAAACAGCTGGGCTTCTTCTTAAAAACCTAGTATTATGTAGATAATTTAATAACCACTGTTTTAAGAATTTACAGTTTAAAGGGAAAGAGGGGAAACAAAAGACAAAAGGAATCCATGTGAGATAAAACAATTTAGAAACTGTCTATCTTATAGGTTGACAAATATTGCAGAAGACAAAAATATCTCTGTGTAAAACATTTTAAAATGCTTTATTTTGTTCATGGAGTATATGATTCCCTTACCCCTCCACATTAAATAAATTACTTTGTTGCTTGTTTGTGCTATTATTTAAAATGAGCAGGTGCCATATGTATTCATCCTTTTATTTCTTATTTAGTCCTCAATAAATATTTGTGAGATAAATGAAATAAACATCTTTCAGTTTCTTAGCAGAAAAATATCTATTAAAATGGTACTAATTATATGATTGTTTGACAGTCTAATGATTTTTTTGTGTGAGATTTCCAACATGACTTTTAAATTATTAATATGCTCTATGACTGATCAAATTTTGCAAAGTAAGCCAGGCAAATGACAGGGTTATCATCCCCATGGATATGCTGAGAGCCATGGTCATAACCTCCTTCCTTTCTTAGCTTGTACTCCAGAAAGTCAATCAGTTGGAAATATATCCTCATTTAATCAGGGATTATTTCAAACCTCATGTAAACAAATTTTGTATGGAAGTAAAAATAAAATTATTCCTTTCTTTTTTTTTTTTTTTTTCTTTTTCACTGTTGAAATAGTTTTAGGATCTGGATGAGATTAAAGAGAAGTAAAGCATGGAGTAAATGTAGAAAACAAAGACTACAGAAGGCATGCAGGAATAAAGAGGTATTGAGGGGAGAAACCAAAGGGAAAAGCAAAGGGGGAAAGGAAAGAGATAGCAAATGATTTTACACAGTTCCACATGTGTATTTGTCCCTCATAAGCAATTTATTTGTTATATAATATTCTCTCTGTAATACTCTTAAGTATTATTATGCATCAACTTTTAAAATGAGATTTCATTAATTTATAAAATTACTAACCTTCTTTGGTACAATTGATCTGGGCTTCATCACTGAAGTCACCACAGTCATTGTCACCATCACAGGCCCAATGGCCCGGGATGCATCTGCCACTGGAACATCTGAACTGATTATCAAAGCAAGAGTGAACACAGCCCACCTCATCACTCCCGTCCCCACAGTCGTCATCTGGAAAGAAACATCAACATGAGGCAGTGAAACCCGAACCATGGAGAAATTTTTTTTTATGAAACATCTAACTGTTTTGTTGTTGTTGCTGTTGTTTGAGACAGAGTCTTGCTCTGTCACCCAACCTGGAGTGCAGTGGCGCGATCTCGGCTCACTGCAACCTTCACCTCCTGGGGCTCAAATGATTCTCCCACCTCAGCCTCCCAAGTAAGTGGTACCACAGACATATGCCACCATGCCCAGCTCATTTGTTTTGTATTTCTTTAGTAAAGATGGGGTTTTGCCATGTGTTGGCCAGGCTGGTATCAAACTCTTGGCCTCAAGCAATCCACCCTCCTCGGCCTCCCAAAATGCTGGGATTATATATGTGAGCCACTGTGCCTGGCCCTTTTATTTATTAATTTTCTTCCTATATACAGTTTTTTTTTTTTTTGAAAAATGAATGATAATTGAATCAGTGGAACAACATTTCTTATAAACAGTGGAAGAATTATTTTCATCTTCATATTGCTTCTCCTTTGATTTAATATCAACTGCTAAACTGAGAGAAAAAAAATCCTTGACTTTGGATTTTGAAGCTTAATTTCTACTCCACACGGAAATAACTAACTACTGACTGAATGCATCTATGCACCTCGAAATAAGGAGGCAATGGTGACTACAGGAGTTTCATGAAATGATACAACCAATAATATAATTATCGTGGAAGATTATTACTTAAACCTACAATTCTTATGCCCCATAGTTTATAATTCTATTTTCAATATCCTTCCTTTCTCCTCATTCTCCAACATGAGAACCCACTGTGTACCTCTCTTCTCTTGGATCCTCTGTATATATTTGTACTTGGAAACTATTGTACAGTATCATTAGAAATGATTTATATTCTTTATTAACAACTATTTCAGGAGGCAGAGGAGAGAAGTGTGAAGTAAAATTAGATCAAATTAAAATAAATAGATGGGAATGTATTGATTCCTATATAATTCATTTACCTGTACTTGGCATAATTTAGCATAGTAATACAATTGAATATAAGAAAAAAGTACCATTAGAAAGTAAGAGGAAACTGACAGAGTTGAAACTGTCTGGGTAATTCCATAGCAACGTATAAGCTTCTCCTCCTGAGGTTACATGCATGTTTTAGGGAACCCGAATTGTCCAAGTTATTTCCTCAATTGTCCACCTTACTACATGTTTGTAGAATTAGACCATGTCCAACATAAACATTTGATAAACAAATCTCTATCACAGATCCATGGGGGCAAATATTGAGCTCCATTATCTTTAATGCTAATTCCCACTAATGTGCCAGCTGGCCGCTCACTACTTGTTTTAGCCATTTGTCTTGGCTCTTCAAGCTTCCCCTACAAAGTACCTCTGAAGAAAGCCAGGCAGTCCAGACCACCAAACCCCCAATCAAATCAGTGCTACACAGTGAGCATTTGGTACTTGCCAGAGTCGCAGTGCCATTTGCTGCTAATGCATCTTCCATTTTTGCAAACAAATTGTGTTAGTGGCTCACAAGTTGGGAATTCTGTGAAAGATATAAAAACGTCCAAAAGGTAGCATGTTATTGACTGTGCATGACTTAATTTGTATCATTTGCTAATGTGATCAGAACTCCTTCCCTGTTCTCTACAAAGGCACAGAGGAAATGGCAGATAAACAAACACAGTGACTATAACTTCTTGAAGACATAGGACTCACATACTTTTATTATATTTTAAATGAGTGCTTTCCAGTGACTGAAAGCCTAGGAGAATTATTTGATGAAGGAAGGATCATTCGGATTCATTATACTGCTGGAAAAATGAATAGATGTCAACTCCATGCACCAAGGGACTCAACATTCACTCAGTGGATAAAAGCTAATGGAGCTGTACACGCTGGAGCTGCAAAGTAATGTGTTTATGCTTTAACAGAGGAAGGCCTTTCCTGAATACAGAGAGCCAAAGATGGAAAGTCAGATCTCACTCTGCCTCTGGAAGATGTTAACATTATAAGGTGAAAGTTAAAAAAAATAAAATAAACACAATAAAATCACTTAGGTAAGCCAGTATCACCTAGTTACCAAGAAAAGTATGAAATCTTAGTTTATGGGGGGGAAAAAAAAAAAAAAAGTGAAAACCTGAAAAAAAAATAGTAAAGAATTAGATTTTAAGATGAATTTTACACAATTAAATCAAGAGACCTCCTTACTAACCTTTAGATAATTACAACAAAGAGGAATAGAATTAGCATAGAAAAAAGAGTTTGAAAAATATAATTAGCCAATTTGAATATCAATACATCTAAAAGACAACACTGTCACAATAAAATCTGATAATCAATAGCCAAAAAAGAGGGGTAATAGTAGTGAGAGAAAATATAATTGCCGAACACGTTATCCAAGAAATTTTGAATTGTTTACTAATATGTCCCAGGAGAAAGTTTTATTTTCTCTAATTCATATATGGTGAAAGTTCTTCACCTAGAGTTTATTTAAGTTGCTCAATATCAGACCTTTAAGCTCTCAGGAAAATATGAATAGCATTACAAATCTTCACACACAAGAGCTCATTTAAAAGATATTTAAAGAAGAAAAAGAAGAAATAACAAACTATTGGTTTAATTACACAAAGATAGAAAAAAATAGACCTATGGGCTACACTTTTTTTTTTTTTTTTTTTTTTTTTTTTTATAGGGAGGTTGCAGTTAGTCTAGATGTTGGAGTGCAGTGGTGAGATCTCGACTCACTGCAACCTCCGTCTCCTGGGTTCAAGCGATTCTCCTGCCTCAGCCTCCCTAGTAGGTGGGACTACAGGCGTGTGCAACCACACAGGCTAATTTTTTGTATTTTTATCGGAGATGGGATTTCACCATGTTTGCAAGGATGGTCTCAATCTCCTGATCTTGTTACCAACATGACTTGGCCTCCAAAAGTGCTGGGATTACAGGCGTGAGCCACTGCACCTGGCCCATATTCTTTGATTGTTCTTGTAACAGCGGAAGCCAATGACATTTTGTGACTATCTGTTTTTCCATTTAAGACAACTGACACAGAATCATAGAATATATTTGATGGAAGGCAATGCAGAGAATACAATTTGAAAATATTTACAAATATTTTACAAATATTCTCTGCATTGTCTCAGGGCTACTAAGAACAACTGATGACTGAACAGGCTTGACTTCAGGTACTCAAACCTCTTCAGCCAAATCTATTCAAATGTTACCCATCAATCAATCAATCGTTTCAATTTTGTAGTTTTGAGCATTATTTTATTTTGGAGAAAAATGTATGAATAACAAAAATATATTTCTCTGCTTAAAAAACGGACTAATTGTGTCCAGTCGTTTTAGCTATAAGGCAACTGAAACTCAGAGAAATTAGACTTGCCTAATAATACATGTATCTCCTAAGGAAAAACAGGTCTTAGAATTCAGTTCATGAAGCTCCCCATCCAGCACTTCTTCTACCATACTCTATTACCAATTTTCTATCTCACTTTCCCTTTTCATCCATGAATGTACCTACATTGTTATTTTACTCTCCTCATATTCTTAGCATATACTAGGCATAAGGTTTAAACATTTCTCATACATTGTTTCATTTTGCAGAGGAGTACTTTCTTATGTTTATCAGAAACATGTCTCTAAATACTTTCACTATTTTAGGATTCAGTTAACAAGATTTTGTCCATGTCAGTCACTCCTTCATAAGTTTCTTTTGTTTGTTCCTTAACAAGATAGTGAGAACTTACATTTATGTTTCAAGAATCAGCACGAAAGTTGTCTGAAATATGCTTTTTTCCTTAGAAAGAAACTGTTTAGCAGATGTACTGCAATGTAGAAGATGTACTGTAGACAAGAGTCAGGACATTTAAATGAACAATGCTGGATATTTCCATCATTTAGAGGTTTTTTTTATTTATCTTATTTTTAAATTATATAACACTTTTATAGGGCAGATTGTACCAAGATTCACCTAATCATTTCTGTGACACTTTTCTAAGGTTTATTCCTGATAATTTCCTCCTAAGAGTTGAGGACTTCACATAATACTCCAAGTAGTTAGTTCTGTACAAAATTAGGTTACTAAGTATTTTCTTAGTACATTAACTAATAAAGCACATTGGTGATAGTATCTTTAGGAAATGAGAATTTCAAGTGATATTACTGTAACTCCTCTAGAATGGTTTGCATTTTTACCTTAAAATCTATGACATTTTTAAGTTTATATTAGTATGATTCTTGGCAAATCACAAGTAGTTGGAATTAATTGTAAAAGAGGAGCAAATTAATTTTGCCTGACAGTGCAAAGACTTACCTTGTGTGTTATCCTAAACGTAACGCCTGAAATTAAAATTAGAGGCTAGAATATTCACCTCCATTCTTAAAGTAGTGAAACAACAAATCAACTTGGGGCATGCAAGGACTCTAATATGTAGCAGAGCTGGGAAGAGAGAGTCGGTCAACGACACCACCAGAGACAGCCAATGAATGGTCTTCAGATGGTAGCCATCTTTTATATTGGTAACTTGTCCAGTGACAAAATAAATTGATATTACTTCACAAATAACATAAAGAGAAAGTGGTGGCTTCATACCCGATCTGATGGATTTCGCTGTCTTGGTTACCTGTTTATTTACTTTTTAAAAAGCAATTTATTTGTGTGAGTTTACATCTAAGCACATTCATCTAAGGTATTGACATTTGAATGAAAATTATTGTAAAACTTAACAAATTTGTTTTGTTTCATGATTACCAAAATCACATCTTAAGATATGAATTTTAAGATAAATTTAACTTTTTAAAAAACAGACAATGTCATGAGAGCCTAAATGTGATGCAAAAAAAAGAAAAAAAAATAGGTAGAAAGGAGGCAAAGACTCATATCAAAAGCTATCCTGCAGAAACCCAACAAATATTCTGTCATGTAAGGGGAAGTACTAGGAAGAAAACTGAAAATGCCTAAAGGCATAATTTAATCAATACTTCTAAGGAAGTTTCTTTTATTACCTAACGAGATATTGAGAACTTATGTTTATGTTTCAAGAATCAACACGAAAGTTGTCCAAAATACGCTTTTGTCCTTAGATAGATAATAACTGGTTAGTGGAGGTACTGCAGTGTAGAAGATGTACTGTAGACAAGAATCAGGACATTTAAACAGAGAATCAACTCAAGTTTTTGTTCAAATGAGTAAACAAAAAAATGGGGACTCAGATATGATGAGATCTAATCTTTAAAAATAACAATACATCTTTTTTGACTCTATAATAAGTTAATTCAAAATTTTGTATCTCTCATCTATAAACTTAGGAGCATATTAATCAATATTCCAAGTTTTGCTAAGAAAAAAATGTATCATCCTAAGTATCTGAAAACTTTTGAAACTGATGATATTTCATTGGTTAGGAAATTTTCCATGTAAGTTTTAAAATTATTTCCAACTGTTAGATTTTAACACTAAAAAGCAGTCAAAAAATGAAGTGGAAATTGGCTCTGAATATATTAAAAAAAAATTCTCAAACTAAATTTAAAAATCGAAAATCCAATACATTCATCCTCTAAGAAAATGAGACATTCGCTTTCTGCCCACACTGAATAAAATATAAACACATATAGTGTAAACATGTGCTTAAACAATTATATATTATATGTGACTAATTTTTTTAATGATAGTTACATCATGTCTCTTGTTGTTAACCTTATAGTCTGACTTAGCTTATGGAGAAAAATTCCTGTAGAGAAAAACACTGAGAACCAGAATAAGGCTGAAGGGAAATAGTAAAGAGAGTAAAGTTATCATCTGAAGAGAGACATGTACAGGAGAAAAGTTATTAATGTTTGATTTCTGTTTCATTCTCAAAGTACTACGACTGAGTAAATCACTCTGTCTGCCTGGTTTCAGACTTCTGGTTTATAATCTTATCTCTTGGGTCCTATATGTCCTAGAGATCAAGAAGTCAGAAGACATATCATCTAGAAATGCGTAATATCCTGAAAGCATTTAATGTAGCAAAAAGTAGAGTTCACCACTTCAATAACTCCTGGGGTTATCACAGCATTACAATAAATCACAATAATTGATTATTGTGCTTTAAAAACCTCTTAAAATACATTTAATATTTTTCCTGTTTTTTCACTTTAGTGTTAATTTAAAAGTTGAAAATAGCATCTGAATATATCAGTTTATTTCTGGATACCTGTTCTGTTAAAATGCCCTTATGAATTCTTATATTTGACAAAGATTTAAATATTACACACATTTTTTTTAATTTCTTGATTTTGCATAAAAATTCTTTGACTTTGGATACAAATTGCAGGACACTTGCAAGAATTACCTGATTAACTCAGAAAAAGAGAAAAATTATGAACAAAAATGGCTTACATTTCATCATGTTACAATTATAGAAAGGAAAAGAAAACTGTATTTTATCTTGGTAGTTACTTAAACCTCATAGAATATATAATATATAATATGGATTAATGGACTGTTAAAAATCTTCTATTCTTGCTGGTAGTATGCTCAATTTACCTATTATATGT